GTGCATTAACTAGCAGTTATCGCGGATTATATGTTATATTTGTGTTTGTGTAGTTTTGTTTTTGAAATGAATATTGGAGATTTTTTTGAAAGTCACGACGATGAACAAATTGTTAATTTTGTGCAACACAAGAAAAGACAGTTTTAGAACGGGAAGAACATTTTCAAAATTATGAGGATTTTGCAGAAGCAAATATCGATGAGTTTTTGCCAAAGTATCGCAAGTAACATCATTCAAATTTCGGGAATTGAAAATATTTTTTATTTTAAAGTCTGTTTTAAACCATATATAACCTATATGTTTTATAACAGGTAAATGATATAATTATAAGCTATTTACTTGTTATGAAACCTTTAGGCTATATTTAATTTAAAACAGACTTTAAGACAAAAAATGTTTTCGATTCCCTAAATTTAAGTTATGTTGCTTGCGATACTTTAGCAGAAACTCATCGATATATATATATTGCTATAGCAAATAAAAGCAAATAGAGGAGGAAATAGAAACTTTTACGGATATGTACCTACGTACAAATTCTACATATTTGTCCACGTATCAAGAGAACAATTTGAACCGATAGATTTTTTTGGTAAAATTATTATACCCATAAAATAATAAAGAAGCATAACAATGTACACAAAATAAGAGTCCTTTGAGGTTATGTGTTTTATGCGCATGCCATGAATTTAAATTTAACCAATTAAAATGTATCTTGACACTCTTGACAGTGTTGCCCAATTGCCAAATTGCTAAACTAGCAGATACGAAACTGAAACCGTACGAGGATAAAGGTAACTAAGATACTTAACAAACACTTTTAGTTGGACATTGATAAACCGTCCCTGAGGGAATAAAAATAAAATATTTAAATAAAAAATAAGGAAACAAGAGGTACATTTAACCAGGAACTACCCCCTTGCCCCACTTAAAGTTAATACAAAAAAATTAAACTTTTAAAATAGGCATGTTAAATATTTTTTAATGAAAACTACACAAAATTAATATAAATTTTAAATAGCAAACTAAAGTTTTAGATTTAATCCTAATAATTATAATTATAAAATAAATTTGGGCTGTGGCAGGAGACATCCTGCCCTACCCCAATTTTTTAAACTTTTAAAATTGTAAAATAAACAATAGGTACAACTGGGTATCTATTAAACGACATGTTTAATATTCTTTAATAAAAACTACACCCCTGCTCCACTCCAAACTAATACAAATTTTAAATAGCAAAGTAAAGTTTACTCAGTAAATAAGCAAGCTGTGTATTAATTAAATAGTCTTATTAATGTATTTATTATTATATAATAATTATAATTATGGGCTATTCCTAAGAGAAATAAACAATTATGTTGTTTTAAATTTCCTTAAAATTCGTTAAAAAATTTACCATCCATTGTCCTTTAGACCAACCTGTAAGTATAAAACTAGAAATGAATTTAATTTACATCAGGTATAAAACAAAACCGCTACATGGCCTGAGAGATTATAAAAAATAGTTTAAAATATTAATTGAAATATCGCTTGTTTATTTTTACATATGAAATCCATAATGAGATTGAGTTCATAAGTAATACTTACTATGTTATATTTATTTGGGACAGAAGGGTAGTTTATAAATTAAAAAAATAATATATACCAATCTTAAAATTTAATTTATTTATACTTTTAAGGTGGGGCAGGGAGTAGTTCATAAAATAATAATTATGATAATAAAATAATTAATTTATGTTATAAACTACCAGGGGGTCCCACTAGAAATTAAATAAAATTATTAATGATATGAATTGAAAAGGAATATTTATTTTGCTATTTAAATTTATTATATTATATTTCTTAACAATGGATCAAAACCATACTCAAGCAACAACTACTAACTCTTTAAATGATTAAATCCTTTTAGTATTATAGGGTTTAATCATAACTTGAGCTTGTTGGATTAATTAAATCACTAGATGAGTTAAAGTTTCGATACCTCAGGTAGTTTAAATATTGCTGAGATTAAATCATGCCCGATCGATGCAAACTCTCTGGGACGTCCCGGACGGCTTATTACTCTCTCTTAGATGTATACATTTACCTATAGGTAAATAAAAAAAGAGTTTAAATTTTACGCCTAGTCCCTGCATTCAACTGAAACTAAAACATCTTATCAAGTCATATTCAACTTCAGCTACAATTAGGGGTGCACCCCTTGACATGTCAATGCCGGGATCCCATAAAAAAAACCGGTTAAAAAGTTCCAATCCCGGGATCTTCGTAAAGAATAAAATATTCTTTTTAATGGCATTAATTGTTAATTATTATACTATTTACGGAATAATGACGCACAAGGGGTGATAAAATATAATGTTTATAAATATTCGTTTCTTTATACTTTTGTTATACATTTAAAATGCATAATGTCGTTCCAAAACTCTCACGTTATAAGGTGTATCACGTGCTGCGGCGGATTCTAACGCAAAAAGTAAACATAAATTGCAAAAATTTTCTGAAGTCTTACACCCTCAATTGGAACTCACCAAGGCCCGATTGATAAAATAAATGGAAATATTTGTTAATGGGCGTAAACTTGGGGTACAATCTACAAAATGCCTACGAATTTTTGACTAAAATTCCTCCAACTAGTGTCTCCGAAAGGTGTTGATTGTTTGATTATTTTAAATTATATATGCATATAAATAAAATAAGTACCACAAACTGATTCTAAAAAGACAAAATTATATTTTGCTAATCAATTTGTAATAACTTCTGCTGTAAGCAATGATGTGGTTTTTAACTATGAATTAAACCATTTTTAAGGACAGCAAATTTAAATTTTCTTTTAAAATAACAAAAGTTATTTCGTTTAAATGCTTATTCTTATTACGCGACGAGATGAAACGATAAAATAGTTAAAATGCTATGAAAATAAGATAAACAGTTTTATGATTTAAAAATAATATTATTTATTAATGTGTTTTAGTACTGTAAAATCAACAACAATTATTGTACACTTAAAAAAGTAGTAAATTAAAGTACAGGCGGAGAAAGCACATATTATCGCCGAGCATACATTTCACTGTCCAGTCGATAGCCGATTGTGTGCGAGGCAATTAATAAACTTATTTTTAAATGGGACACACTGTACATTTTTACATATTTTGAAACAAAATATTATTATTGCATAACTACCCTAAATTTAAAAATAGACAAATATATTTGTTCTTATTATAATAAGAACTTTCTGGTGGTTGTTGAAATAAGAAAGTTACTTTATTTTTATTTTAACAACAACTAGAAAGTTCAAGGGCTGTTTATTTTTAAGTTAGGGTAGTTAAGCAATAATAATTTATTGTTTCAAATTGTTATTTATTATTTTGGTTGAATATTTCGAAAACCCGACATTCAATTGTTATTCTGTTTCCTCCATTTTAATCGTAACAAGGCACCAGTTTGCTAATTTAATCGACTTTGTAGCTTTAATAATAACGAAATTAGCAATGGTGAGCAGATAATTTTGAACACTCACCGTGTCCATACACCATATGTATTATAGTTTTAAAGCAAATGGCATTTTGTCAGTATTGTCACCCTATTGTTACGCCACTGTTTGATGAAAATCTAACTGGTTTTAAATTTCCTTTTAAATTCTCATCCGCGCATTTTTGTATATTAAGAAGGCGTTTAAATACGTATTAATCTAAAATTAAAGTCAATAAAAAAAATAAAATTAAAAAACTGCTTTTAGAAATTTTTAAATTCAAGAATTTTTTACTTTATACTCATAGTATTGTGTTAAACAATTAACCTAGCCAACTAAAGAATTATTCAAGTTATTTATGTACCTATATGTAAACATAATTAAATTAACTATATGTAAACATGAAAATTTCCTTATCGTTTATTGTTTTGATGTCAAATGTAAAATAATTAAAAACATTATTTTTTATTGCTCATCCATGTTACTTATTTATTTATTTTAATATATTGGTAAATTTTATTTATTATTAAATGTAAACAAGCACTACCATTAGGACAATAAATAGAACTAAATAATCAAATTTTACAAATAAGAAATAATGCATTACATTATATATTTTTTTCTATTCATACATTGACGAGCTCTGACTTTATTGCGTTTTAGTCACTGGCTGAAGTTCATTCATTTTTGTCCTTGTCGTAGATAAAGTATAGTATGCTCTAGACACTTGTTTTTATTAAACACTCGCTCGTGCCTAATTGAACTCGTAACTAAAATGGCCTTTATAAAACATAATATACTTTTTTTAAGTTTTGAAGTATACTTTTTAACATTCTTTATTGAATTTTAAGCAAATATTATAAGTGTGCAGATAAATATGGATTTAAATTTAAGATACCTAAAGGTTATTTATTATAATAATATACCTAGTATCTAAATAGTTAATATTAATATGTAAGGAAAATTATTTCTGTTTTTGTTAAAAAAAACATTGCGTAGGTACTAATTAGTTTAATTTAGGTAGGTAGGTATCATAAAATTGTATTGTCAGTCATTGAATTATTTTTAATTTATTTTTTAAATGAGAGTACCAATAATTTAACACAAACCTGTTATTTATTGTGACTGAAAAAATGGGGTCATTCCAAATTTCAAGTGTACCGAAATTGACACAAATAAATTAAAAAAATATACATAAGAAGGCAATTTAATTATTGTAATTACAGTTAAATTGACATACTTATTAAAGTAAAGTTTGGCGCCAAGTCCGGTTATGTATTTATGTTAAAAAAGTTATATTATTTTTTTGAAAAAAAAACAAATACTAATATTAAAACAATGCACATTGAATTCACACTACGCACATCACACATAGATAAGAATATAGGTGGCATGTTTTCGGACATAACCTAGTTCGATGTATCAGGATGCAAATCTAGTACAGACTCCCACGGCGACATAAGTGCAACTGATGAATGAACATCATTTGAGTATAAAAATTATACCGAGAAGATCTCGGCAATCTTATTGGTTGGTTGCACATGCTCCTCCCAAAAAATACTCGACTACGTCCCCACCACAACGTCTTAAGTAAGTAGTAGACCTATGTATAAAAGCACTGTGCTATAATGACACACCAATAGATACTGTGCACCTTAAGAAACAATCCTACGATCTTTTTGGTGCATAAAAATGTTTGTGTACGGTGCCTCGGTGCTCATAAACGTTCTGCTCGAGCAGATTTCTACCAAAGTTCTTGCAGTGTTTTTGGCGGTATTAATTATTGTTCGCGTTCTACAAGTGTTAAGGGAAGCTTTTTTCTTGCCTCCAGGACCTTGGGGATTGCCAATTTTGGGATCTTTACTCTCTCTGAAAGGTGATTTACATTTACACTTCAGAGACTTAACCTATAAATATGGCTCGTTGATATCCACCAGACTGGGTACACAGCTGATTGTTGTCCTAAGTGATTATAAAATGATTAGAGATGCTTTTCGCAAAGAAGAATTTACCGGGAGACCAACAACAGAGTTTACGAACATCCTCGGAGGTTACGGTAAGTTATTATTTTATAAATACCTTATTCCCATAATTGACATACTTACTTATGGCCTTCATACGTTTTATTTAAGTAAAAGTGATCATCGTTATCAATAAATTTTGTATCTAATTTAACCCAGTTTCTATCTTTCTTAAGTGTGATAAGTTGGTTTCTGAAATTTACATTTAAATATAAAAATTTCCATGCACTAAGCAATTAGCTAATTTAATTACATTATTTTCAATTATATTTCAGGTGTAATAAATACAGCAGGTAAACTCTGGAAGGATCAACGACGATTCCTCCACGACGGTCTGCGTCATTTTGGAATGTCCTATTTGGGATCTCGAAAGGCTCAAATGGAAAATAGGATTATGAAAGAAGTTGAAGAATTTTTGTGTGTTTTAAAAGCACGTAAAGATCGCCCCATTGATTTAAATCCAGTTTTGGCAGTCTCCATTTCAAATGTTATTTGCGATGTCTTAATGTCTGTTAGATTTTCTCACAACGATAAAAGATTCATCAGGTTTATGGATTTAATTGATGAAGGTTTTAAATTATTTGGAAGCCTACAAGCTGCTTTGTTTATTCCTTTTTTAAAATACTTACCAGGACACAATTCCACTAGAGAAAAAATTTCAAAGGTAATATTCTATAAAATGAGATGATTTTAAAAAACTTATAAATAATTTAATTTTACAGAATCGTGCTGAAATGGGGGAATTTTTACAAGAAACCATTGACGAACATCGTAAAACTTTTGATCCTAGCCATCTTAGAGATTTACTTGATACTTATCTATATGAAATACAAAAAGCCAATGAAGAAGGAACAGGGCATCATTTGTTTGAAGGAAAAGACCATGGTAATTATTAAATTATATTTGTTAACATTTTCCAAAAAAATATTAGTAATATTTTTCATAAAAAGCTAATATTCATTCATGTTTTTTCTAGATCGTCAAATGCAACAGATTATGGGCGATATGTTTTCCGCCGGTATGGAAACGATAAAAAGTTCACTTCAATGGGCCGTTCTTTTTATGCTTCATAATCCAGAAGTTATGAAATCAATTCAAGAAGAAATGGATCAAGTAATAGGTCGTCAAAGACTGCCAAAACTTGAAGACCTAGCTTACCTACCAGTTACTGAATCTACAATCCTAGAAGTATTGAGAATTTCCAGTATTGTACCTATGGGGACTACACACTCACCAACAAGGTAATTATTACAATTCATACTAATTAAAATATAAGGCCTGTTTTTTCATTTTAAATCGAGAAGTAAATAATTAATAATAATAATAATAAATTACATTTTTTATCAATATATTTTTTATTTTTATTTATTTTAATAAAATAATAATAATTAATTCAATATTAATATTTTAAGCAAAAATCGTTAATTGTTTAATAACATTAAATTAATGAAATACATAATTATCGTTATTTAAATTTGTTGGTTTGATTCTTCAGTATTAGGTCATTGTATTAAATTGACACCTGCGAAAAAAGTGAAAGCTCAAAATTCATTTATATATTTCGGTCATTGAACTTGTGGTTCAATCAGACGATTTCTTAAATTATTTTGTAACGCATACGCAGGACGAATTTTAATTTGAGACAATGAATTATGTAATGTCAGAGTTCAACACATGCCGATTACCAATAAATATTACCTGTTTTCCCTAAAATAAATGCGAAAACTGTTGCTAATTTTATATGATCTAAACAGTGTATTATTATTTCCAGAGATGTTAAGTTAAACGGCTTTCACTTGCCTCAACATGCTCAGGTGGTTCCTCTACTGCATGCTGTTCATATGGATCCGACATTATGGGATGAACCTGATAAATTTAATCCTTCAAGGTTTATCAATGCTGAGGGAAAAGTTCAGAAACCAGAATACTTTCTTCCATTTGGAGTGGGCCGACGAATGTGCTTAGGCGAAATTTTAGCCAGAATGGAATTGTTTCTGTTTTTCTCTTCACTTTTGCATTCTTTTAACATAAGCGTACCTGAAGGAGAAACATTACCAAGTCTTAAGGGTATTGCTGGTGTGACCATTACTCCAAACGCTTTCAAAGTAAGTTTAAAGCCCAGACCTATGGAGTGGGAAAATGCAGCCACTACAATAAGGCCTGCTGGAAGTCACTAAGTTTTGTTTTTTTCCAAGAGCACGGTTAAAAAGTGTTCCTAACTCCTAACGCCGATAACAGTACTTATTTTCACGAACAAGATCTCTAACTGGAACGGCTGTGTGCAAGTGTTCATTTATTTCTTAGTATTAATACAATTAGCAAGTAAGATTTTATGCTAGTCATACATTTTCATTGAATGTAACTCCAAATGGTTCATAGTTACTTATTCTTTTTACCATTTTGACATATTTGATTTTTTTACCGTTTTTATATAATATATGTTTATTTTTTATTTTATTATAGAGTAATTTGGAGTTACTCATCATTAATTTTTTGTCGTTACCTATTTTTGTATAAACCTGTGAATGTTAAAGATAGACAAGGCAGCTTACTTAAAAATATTTCCTATGGAAATTGATCACCATTTTTATATATCATCTAATTTTAAGTGATATTGTATATATTTCATTTTATTTGTTGCATTCTTGCTAAACTGTATATGTTAATTGAGAGCAAGACTTATTTTAAGGTTATTGTTATTTAACTTTTTTCAACAAAACCATAACATTAAATAAATTATAATTTTAATATATATATTTGTTTAAGTATCCCTACTTTTACTTGAAAACAAGAATTTCAATAAATAAAATTAATTTTTGGGGCCTACAACATTATTTAAGCAAAATACTTTTAAAAACATACAAACGTTAACGTTAAAAGTTTTATGATGAGAAAGTGCGTTAAAATAATAATAATAAATATTAATTAATCGTTAGCTTAAGGGTTTATTAAAATGGTACATTTTATTCCAATTTTATAGGTAGGTATTATAATTTTATAATATGCGACTTGCCACCAAAAACTTGAATAATCTTCTATCACCTTTAATAACTAACTACTAAACTTGCAGAGGCAGCTTGTAACTAGCTGGTAACTAGTCAGTAACTAGTTAGTAACTAGTCAGTTTTAGCCGACAGAGAAGTCAAAAATTACCATCGATCAGTGGCGCGATTTAACGTGCTTTCGTAAAGAAACTTTTTATTTTTTTTTAATAAAAAATTTAATTTTTTTAAAGACTGTTCTGAAAGGTGATTTTCGGACTTTCTATGAAACCTAATTTTTTTGTTTTGTATTATTGTTAATTAGGTCATAACTAAAAATTTTAGAGCAAAATAAAAAAAATCTTAGGGTTAGTTTTGTTTTAATTGGATGTTTATTAAAAATATTATGCACTCTTTCAATTATCGAATTAAAACTTGAGATTTTATTTAAATATTATCATAACTTTTTAAATCAGATAAAATATTAATTAATTTTCTAAATAAAAGGTTTATACAACTTTTTTATATCTTTAACTGTTTTGTTGCAATACATGTTTAAAGTTCAACAATAATTCTAAGGGTACGATAAAGTTTTAATTTAGACTAGACATGTTTATTTTATTTAGTGCCGATTTATTAATTTTTGGTTAAACTGACGAATAATTTCTTTGGATACTATTGTCAAGACATGAAAGTTATCGGTCAGATAAACTTTACCAAAGATGAATAAACCGGTCCTTAGTTAAATTATTTTGCCTAAATATTTTTTTTAATTAGTGTTACTTTTAAATATTTTAATTAAAACTACCCTTAAAAACAAACTTTTAATAATTAAACATTAAATTACAAAACCAATGTATTGTATTTCATAATTTTATTAACTAAACTAGCAATTAGACATTGTTAAAGAACTAAAATATTTTATAATTATTTTATTGTTGCTTCGTAAAAACTTTTTTGCTTTTTAAAGTAACGTTTCGTGACTAAACTATTGTGTTAAATTTTTCTATCAGAAAAATTGTTTTAACAGCAGTTGGAGAAAATTGGCTAATACTTCTCATAAATACTCGTAGAAAAAATAAGTAAACTTAAGGAAGTAACAAGAATATATTTAGACATCTTTCTGATGTGTCCTGTCCATGGGCTTGGAATGGTCGCCCGGTATATATATATTTTAATTTTAGAAATTACAGTTGATCTACTTAAATAAAACAAAACATAATATTAAAGTTCTTTATTTAAACTTAGTTTTAAAAAATCCGCAGTTTCGATTACAACCAATAAGAAGAAACTGCAAGAAACTTATGGGTGCTTTTTTCTTTAAACCAAACTCATCAGTCAGGTAAAATACACCTCTAGGTACATGATATGTATCTAAGTATACTTATGTATACATATTTATATATTTTAATTTTCCTAGTACTAACTAAAAATTACACTTTAAACATCTACTTAAATAAAACCTAAAACTACAAAATAAATATAAAAACCCTTAACCAATACTATTTTTTTCGTTTTGTTAGAAAGAATTCTTGCTTATCCACATTCACTAATAAAAAAATAGTCTTATAATAAACAAAGCCTTGTAATAAACAGAGATATACTATCTGAATAAACTAAACGAATAAAAGCAATAACATCAATTTGAGGTTATGATATAACCGTTATTTCGTTTTTGGCGCAAATGATTCATTAATTTGAAATGAATGACGTCAGCCGCCGAAGCTCTCCATAAACAGCCGAATACTTCCGAGGTTTCCGTGATATTTAGTGTCGTCTTAATAAGACAGCTATAGGAGCCTTTTGTTTTATAAGAGCGCATTAAAAGCTTTTATAAAACTTACGTTAGACTCTGTTTACCGTTTTATTAATACTTCAACATGGAGACGGCGCGCGGCGATTAGTCCTATCTCTGGTTCTTTTGCTTCATGCATGGCGTAAGTAAAGAGGGCCGGACTTGATTAATTTGTATACAGAATATCCTACATATTTTTGCACCACCTTTAAATTTTAATTATATTTTGTCAATGAATTAAAAATAACTAAGCTTAAATTTGGAAAAAACAAAGATTCTTTTATAAGAAAATAAAAAAAAACGGAAAATATTATGCAGTCCAACTTCGATAACTCGAACCATGACTTGCCACAAAAAACTTAGAGTTATCAAGACTTGGAGAAAGTGCTAAAATTGAGAGGTTTTAAAAACAGTTATAAAATATTTTTATAACGGTTCTATAATATTTCTATAAATATGTGGCTTTATTTCAGTAACAGAGCTTTATCAAAACTATTTTATAACAGTGTTATTGGATTTTTATTAACGATTTATAAACATTGAAAACATTTTAAAGATTCTGGAGTAGAAATGTTTCTTTGGTAGTATTTTTTTTTAACAATTTTAGAATATCATTGCCAATAAAACACCATCGAGAGCCTTTTGTTTTTGGAGATTGCACTTTTTAACCCATGTATCTAGATGATGGGACCTATTAAAATATGAAGTTCGGAAGGCCCGACTAAAACACTCATTTTTAGTAATTGGTAAATTGAAACAGTTTTCGCATCCCCAAACTTAATTTGGTTTTATTGCCATGTTCTTCACGTAACCAATTTAAATAATTTTCTTCAATATTTTTCAATGATCTGGGATTTCCGTTTTCTATTAAATTATTTTTGTTGACTTGCATGTGCAGGGATGGGTAGGGCTATGTGGTTGTGGGCCATATAATATATTAAGAATTTTTAAATCGGAGGATATGACAAAATTATCCTTCAAAGAATTTAAATTCAAAATGTTCCAACTCATTTTTAAATTATAATAATTTTCTTCTATTGTATGAGCTATGACTATACTTTAATAAACAGTTATTTAACACCGTTTCTATTTTTTATAAAAATTGATTTTTTCATTTATATCTTTACTTTTAATGCTATACATGGAAATACTAAACCGTCTATTCCTAAATTAATATTAAAGGGTGTAACATACTTTCTATATTTAGCAGTAAAATTTATTAACTTTTGAACTTCTGTGCAATACACTTAAGTTCAAATTTTCATTGCCACTATTAAAAACAATAATAATGTTACAAGTTTTTTTTGTTTTTTCTTATGTTTTCTAAAATATTTGGTTCAACAGATTTTTGCCATTGGTTTCTCTTATTGTTGTTAATAATTTTTGTAATTGACTATTTTTTCTTGAAGAATTTGATTTTTTTTATTTCTTATTAAAATTTAGATTTAATTTCTAAATTAAGATTAAAATTCAAAATATTTTGTTTTTTATTTCCCTTACTTTATAAAGGATACTAAAAAATGTTGGCATATTTTGATTATCTCTAAAGGCACCCTTATATATTTTTAATTAAAGGTGTGTTTATGATCACTTAAAATAAGAAATAAGATAAAAAGTTAAATCATTTTAAAGTTATGGTTGCGTTCATGTTCATCAAAATAAGAAATAAGAAATTGGAATTGGATTGAATTGGTTTTATGGGTTTTATGTTTTGGCCATGGTGTTGGTGATCGCGTTGAGTGTCGCTGTCGATTGTTTACGTTTATAGCCAATACATAACCCACTATAATAAAATATAATTGTTTTTTGTGTTACTGACAAATTGACGTAACGTGACATATCGACATAATATTATTATAATGCATCTATGATTTTCATCAATACCAACTAAAATACCGATAACTGCCGTCATTACACCCAAAGAACGCAATATCATTTTTTAATTAAATAATTTTTTTATCAACTTATTTTTTTATGAAATTATATTTTTATGAAATTATTTTGTATGCTTTTTTTCATACAAAAAGTTTTTATTATTCTTTCCAAATAGGGACAAAAATATGGTATTTTTTTAAAACCGGCAATGCAGCCACGCATGCGCCTCAATGCAATCATCCGCTTGATTCTCACTTTCCTACTTATATTCCTAGATATATTTTCTGTAGTATACCAATTATTTTGGAATTATTTTTTTCATTGTCTTTAGAGATTTTTAGTGGCTTTTACATAATATGAATATTATAAAATTTGATACAACCTAAATTTAATTTCGTTCGTATCGTACATATTAATATGTCTATGGTATCATATATTTTAAATCCCCTACTTATGAACTGACTATGCCGCATAGTCTATGCGCATAAGGTAGATCATATGCCAAATAGACAAATTTCCCCTCAAAAAAGGAAACTAGGTCATCAAGCAAATCGGAGACAGGTTCGTTTTTCGCGACCGATTTAGCATGAAAATAATTTGGTTTCAATAAAATATGTTAAAATAATTTTAATTTTCTTCATAAACTTATATTAAAAACCAACAGTTTCATAAATACAAGGTGTTGAAGTTGCAAATTTTTGTTTTTGTTTGGTATTATAAATAGTTGTGCATTACATTCATTTTCATACTACAAGCAGTGACTTCACTACAGGGGTAATAATAATCTCTTTTTAAAGAAAAAAAAATCTAATTATGTAAAATTCCAATATGAGGGCTATAAAAAACAAAAGATGGTGGTGGTATCTTAAAATTTAGCAGGCGCATAAAATATAAATTGGATAAAAATGTGGATAAATTTGTATGTTTACATGTAAAAATTCACAGGAATAACGAAGTTATGACGGTTTTTGGTTTTGACAGGTTTTCAGTACTTTTTAAATTATTTGAGAAACGCTGATTTTTTTCCCAGTTTTTAAATTCCATTACGTGATTACACAACTTTTGTCTAATTTGACCGACCTTGTAGCTCATTAAATAAAAAATATACCCATACATAGAAGGATACTTGGTGCACCCTGTATATAGGTACCTATATTTCAGATTTGCTTTATAATTTAAAGGTCCATAGTGGAGCCCAAAAAAAGAAAAACGTTATGCATTTTTGCGGATTTTACAGTATAAACAATGGGAAGTACTTAGTGAGATTTTACTTTAGAATATTTCCGAAATTTTGAAAATTTAATGACTTATTTCAGTAGGCAGTACTTTCTGTAAGAATGATGTCCTACTGTCCTTAATGATAAGGTAAAAAACATTAAAATGTACAGAGGCCATTGTTTGTAAGATCGTCGCCCTTAGGGCTTAAACATCTACTAAATACCCTTGGTACAAAAATAACTAAAACTTTTAAAAATTTCAAAAAATATATACCTATTGTTTTTTGTTTATTTCGCCACCCTTATATATTTATATAGCTATATACAACATTTATTTTTAATATTCTAAGTGTTTAATAATTAAAATTTAATGAATGGATCCTAAAGGTTTTTTTTACAACAAATGCATTGTTTATTTAATTTATTTTTAAGACAAAGACTTATTTATTGTTTACTAACTGTAAAGGTACACCCATAGGTAGTTTCATTACAATAAATGAAATTATACTTTTAATTTATATTAAAATAATTTTTGAAATAATATTTTCTGATGTTTTGGGTTTAATGTTATTCCACATTCTCCGGTTAAATCTACTGATTCTTTATCTTTGACTGTTAATCGAAAATTCTGTATAATATTACTCCCAAATAAATATAGAATCATTCTAGCAAATTCATCACCAATACACATTCTTTTTCCTAAAAGCAAATTTGTAATTATTCTAAAACATATACTTAGAATTTATGTTCTTACCAGTTTGAAATGGAATAAAATTAGGATTTTTAATAAATTGTCCTTGTTTGCTGAGAAACCTTTTGGGATTGAATTCATTTGGATTTTCGTACACTTCTTCATTCATATGAACTGCCCATTGCAAAGGAACTATCATGGTTTGTTTTGGAATTTTATATTTTCCAATTTTGAATTCTTCTTGTGTACCATGAGGTATTCCTAATGGAACAACTGATCTTATTCTTTGGGTTTCAGCGATTGAAGCTTCCAACCATGGTAAAGAATGGATGTCGGATAATTTTACTAGTCGATTTCCTACCTCCTCTTCTATTTGTTGACGTAGTATATCCTGATGTTGAGGGTTTGTGGCCATAAATAATAAATACCATCTTAAATATAACTTTTAAAAAAAGAATTGATAAAAAATTAAATTAAACCTTAAGGTAGTTAACGTTGTATCTAAGCCTGCTCCAAATATATCTGCCAACAAGTGATAAAATTGCTGATCATTATAAAATTTCTCGATATCTTTAGTGTCTTTTCTTTTTTCTTTCTCAATTATAAACGCTTGTATCAAATTATTATAATCTTCACTTATTATATTTTCACATTGTTTCTTTATGAGGTCTTGGTACAATTTATGAGTTTTAAGTTTACCAGATATTAAAAAGTCCATGGTCCTTTTAAACATCGGTATATACCTAATAAAAAATAATAATTTACCAAATAATACATAAATATTTATTAGTTACCTTAAGAATGGTAAAAAGTTAAGAGGTCCTGCTACTCCTATAAGTTTTATACCTTCTTCTTGTAAGTTTTGCAGCCAGTTCCAAGTTTCATCCTCTCTACTCCACGAATGGCCAAATACAATTTGATTCATTATTGAGCCTATGTTATGGCGAAGTGGTTCCAATGGCTCTATATAAACTTCCAAACCCATTTCTTTTATATGCTATATAATAAATTATTAGTATCTTGTTACACACGCCAACAAAATAAAATTTTCTGTTTTCTGTAGGGTAGCTAACAATTTTTCTAGAATAATTTGGGTGTGCTGAATAAAAAACGGTTGTTTTATGTGCAATGTTGTCAATTTTTATTATATTGCATTAAAATTTAACCCCAAATTGGGGTCCCCAATAAAGTAAATATATCAAGTAACAAAATTTTATTAAAAAAAACATTGTTCGTGAATCGGCACTTAATAATAAAAATTGCCGAATTTCGGCTGAAAAAGATTTTATTTCGTGAACTTTTTTTTAGTTTAATTAGGACTCTACATTACCAATGATCCTCGGTTAATATATTTGATTAAAAAAATATGGAAATTTAAAACGTTTTTATCCGCAATATCGTGAAAGCAAGACCTGATTAAGCAAAACATTGACCATTTCAATTTCGCGTAATCAAATTACCCCATAAAAATTAATATCTACCTTGCATCAAAATGGCTGTTGAAGATTATTATACATGGAGATACAAAATCGCACTACTTGTCAATAAAAAGAAATTACAAACACCTATTATATTTAATATAATATATTATTGTTGTGAAAAATTAAACTTTTTTAAATTTAAAATAAAGTAAATAAATTGAATCATTTTTAAACATTCAAGAAATTTTTTATTTAAATTAAAGTGGTCCTAAAACATTATACCTGACACTTTTTCTAGGTTAATTTTAATTTTTTTGGTTTGTATTAAATTCATAATTTGTATAGATTTTATTTTCGAATTTTTTTATCATGAGATATTTTAACAAATAAAGTGCACAGAAAAAACGCTAGCATAGCATGAATGGGTGAGCCATTAAACCAATGGGATCTTGTAATCCGTATTCCTGAATAACAGTTCCTATAATATCAATAGGTAGTTAGCACTTGGTTTATAATCGTTTACTGTTTTTAAATTAACAACAAAAGTTATCGCTCCCAAATCTATTGATATTCATATTGATATTTATTTGTTAGAATGGTAGAATGTTATTGCATTAAATACTAATTTGATTTATTTAATAACGTTACTATTGTATGCATACTATGTATACATTTAACGCAATAAATTCTTTGACATTTAGGTAAAATATTTCCCTATTTTGGTTTAATAGTAATTAATTGAGCAAATAACAATTTAGATTGCTTCAATTTTAATGCATTCAATGACAGCGCTGTTCTTGGTACTATGTTAGATTTTTTTCTGTGTGTGTAATGCGACTTATACTTTATATTTATTATTTTGAAATAAATAAATATTTACATTTATAAAATCCAAAACATTTTCCATGATAAGTTCTTCCATTTTTTCTTTGTTTTCGCTAATTTTTGCTGCACCAAATTGCCTTAATGAATTATAAATAAATTTTCTTTGATCTTTCCACAAATCTCCTTCCGAGCAAACAATACCTAAACAAATATTTAAATGTTTAATAAAAGATGCACTTTTTAAAGTTACATAAAACATTTATTTCGAAAGAAAACCATCAACACATTTCACATATTTTATTTATTAATTATAATGCAGTTAATTTATTATTATGTTTATTTAAAATGTTGTATCAAACGTTTAAATTTTAAAAATAAACTAAACATGATATGGACCAAACGATAGTAAGAGTGTTAATAGACGTTGAAGAAACGTAGTGGTTAATCACTTTGAGTGTCCGACCGGACATGAGTAAAATTCCTGGCTATCAGATGGTGAACCACCTTATACGAGTTCAGTATTCGGAGTCTCCTTCTCAAGGAGGCCTTGTTGCCATACCTGTATTTTAAATAAAATAACACTAAATAAAGGTTTAAGTACATTTTAAACATGGAAGAAAAAATATTTAACCCATACTATTATTTAACCAACAGAAGCCATACTTTTAGTGATTCAATAAAAATACGATTGAAAATTAAGCTGTTGCTTATAAGCGACTAAAGAAGAAAAAAATATTGTTGGTAAATTCTGTATTTTTGTGTCAAACCTAGAATATATATATATATATATATATATATATTCTAGGTCGACTATATAACGAATTTGGACAATAAAATACGTAACAAGGTTAATTCATTTATGATATTCAAAAAATTTAGGCTATTACTAAATAATATATTTTTTAAACAAATTTTATAAAAGAAATACGAACACTCATTCAATACACTTTAAAACAACTTTTAAATATTATATTGCATTTTATTCAATTTTAACTCTTGGCAACAACTGGCAACCCTCTGGTTGCCAGAAAATTCGAAGATGGAGTTAAAACCTCGGAGAGCCTTCACCACACGAAATTCTCATTTTAAATATTTCTTATATGATTTTATACATAGTTATAAGTTTTCATTTAAATCCAAAATTGAAGACGTTTTTTAGCTTTTAATACGTACCCATGTGTTCCAAAAGCCTAATAATTATTCTAAATACGCATCCCAATCCTCTTAGTCTTAAATATACTCATAACTAAAGACCTGATTATACCTATGCAACATAAAAAGAATGATACCTATTGGTGTATAGATGTATGAACAAAAAATGAAAATAGTAAAATTTACCGACCTATTTAATCAATCAATCAAAGGCAGGGTAGGAAAACATGGAGAAATTAGGAGGCTTTAGATTTTATCTTCTGGTATAGTATACTACAGTATACTATGGTATCCAGTATCTATGAGGATTGCTGTTTTACTTTACTAGTTTACTTTTTTGTTAATTATTTCATTTTTTAAAGCAATTTATTTACATAGTAAGTACCTATTTAAAAAGAAGTGTATAGTGTTTACATAATTACGATTATTAATTAAATATAAAAAAATTATTATTATTTTATTTTCGCATTCGCTTATCACTGATAAGTTATCAGTGAATATAACTGTCTTAAGTTAACAATAAAAATTTGTTCTTCTTAAATAACCCAATAACTTGTCAATGTAGTTTTCAAGAAAAATAGTTACCTCGTGAAATTTTGGAAACCTTATTTAATAAAATTGTTTAAATAAAATGTTGTCATTTCTAAAATATCCTAATGTTACTTAGTTTGAGCTAATAATTTTATCTAGGGGCGGTTAGAATGTGTACACAAAATCAGTCATTATCTTTTTATCAAATTAAAGGTAAAATCTTGAGTTTATCAGGTTAAAATAATTTTGACGTGAGTCATCCAGTCAGTTTCAAGAAGAGTTATATAAGAGATTAAGGGCCGGTTTTTCAATCGTTGGTTAACTTTATCTTACGGTTAATTTCCTTAGATACTAATGTTAACACAATAGTATCTAAGAAAGTTAAGCGTAAGTTAAACTTAACCAGCGATTGAAAAACCGGCCCTAAATATAGTTTTTTAGAAATGTATATTTAATCTTTGGTTAAATAATATATAATAGGCATGGCACCCAATTTGAGGTGACCCTTTTAAAATACCAAAGATCCTTAATAAAACGAAAAGATTAAGAAAGTGTTGTTGATCAAATTTGTTTACCTAAAAAAAAATTTTAAGATTGTGTTTAGCTTTGATAGGAGTGAAAATACATGAAAACTTAAGGGTTGCTACATCAATAAAGCATGCTTTATTTTTGAAAAATTGTATTTTGTATGTATATATTACATTGAGAAAAAAAAAGATTTTCATTTTATTTATGTAATGATCATAAAATAATAATAAATCTATAATTATTGTTACATACAGTCATGGGTTTTTAATATAAATTTTATTTTTAGGCTTTAGTCTAAGAATAATATAAGAGCTATCCGAAAACTGTCAAACAAAACTGATAAGAAAAAAATAATTTTTTCCATACCTTGTTCGAAAGTACTTACTTTCGTCTTTAATAGCAGGGACGAAAGTTGAACATTTACTCCATGTGCTATTAGAGACGAAAGTACGTACCTTGGACCGAGGTAAACTTAATGTCATGTCATAAAAGATATTTTTTACCCAAAAGAAAATATATGTATATATGTACATATATTAAGGAAATAAATTTGTTAAATAATAAAAAATTGGGATTTGAGCAGTATACTGCTTAAAATACATTGAGTTAGATCTGGAAAAAACGACTATACTATAGTATTATAAGCAAGAATCTCATAAAGCTTAAGCTTCTAATTAGAATTAACAGTTAAAGTATACTTAACAGTTAAGTATCCTATATAGTCCATGGTTCATCAAGTAAGCCCTAAGTGGCAAGGCCGTGATCCGGCATGGATCCGGGTGCCCTATACGGGAAATCATATGTGGTCCGGATCAGGATTAAATAGGTAAAACCCTATAAAGGCATCTAACGTCAGGTATGGATAAGGGTATACCAGTTAAATCCCTAATAAGGAATACCCTATGGAAATCCATCTGGCCCTGATCTGGCTGCCTGATTAGGAAAATTATGGTCCGGTCCGGATAAGGTGAGCTCTACTCGTTCCCCATTAGGGCAAGTTTTTTTATTCATTATCCGTCCCTGATCAGTCTGCCCGATGGGGAAACAGTAGAAAAAGTTTTAGTCCGGTACGGAAGAGGCAAAGTCTACACTCTCCCTATAAGGCAAGCCCTTTTAATTATTATCTGGCCCAGATTAGACTGCCGAATTGGGGAAAAGTAAGGTCCGGCCCGAAAGACGCAAACTTTACTCTCGCTCTATAAGGCACGCTCTTTTAATTATTCCGCCCTGATCAGTCTGCCTGATTGGCAAAATTATGGTCCGGTAGAGATTGGGCAAGCACTACTTGTGCCCTATTAGGGCAAGTTTTTTTAATTTTTATCCGTCCCTGATCAGTCTGCCAAATCAGAAAAAGTTATAGCCCGTTCCGGATTAGGCAAGCTCCACTCTTTGCTCTCAGGCCAAGCCCTTTTAATTATTATCCGGCCCTGATTAAAAAAATTCTAGATTAGGCACGCTTTACTTTAGAGAAAATTATGGTCCAATCCGAAAAAGGCAAACTCTACTCACGCCCTGTTAGGGCAAGTCTTCTTAATTATTAAGCGGTTAAACCACAGTTAAAGGAAAAGTTAAAAAAGTTATGATTCTGTCCGGAAAAGGCAAACTCTACTCTAACCCTAAAGTAATTTAAATATTTAACCCAGCTTGCTTACTCGAAATGTGCATTAACCTCGCTCGTGTAATTTCCTTGACACGGTATATAAACAAAGTTAGATCAGCGAATTATGACCATTAGTCATTGGTCCCCAAACAGTCTTTCTTATTAGGAATAAGTGGATGAAATTATGGTTCGGTCCAGAAGAGGCAAACTTTAACCATACTTTACGGTTAAATATATATATATATAACAAACATATTAGGGCGTCACTGACAGTCACGATCGAACACTTGACGAAGTAAGTCTTATCGTATCGTATCAAGACCTCGCTCAAAACATACAAGTAAAACCCACAAACAATACTTATACAGTGCAAATAAACTATATTGCTATGGCTTTAAGGTGCTTTGATCAGGGGCTAAAGTTAGCAACAGGTTTTTAGTCACGAGCTTTAAGTTAGTTGACAGTTGTCAAATGTTATACATTTGTTAAAATAGAGTGCCCCTTCTGTGAAATACACAGTAAAAAAGCTTAGGTGAAAGCTGTAGAGTGAAAAAGTTAGTGTAGAACATCACACTATTTTCAATCCTAAAATATAATTTTTCGTCTAAGTGTAATGGAATGATAGTAGTTTTCCACATCAATCTAACTTTACACTTACAATATATATATATATATATATATATATATATATATATGTATATATATATATTTTAGCACTAGCCAGGCTATGGCAGTGCACATTAGTGTAAATATGCAATCAGGGGTGTTCCGTTGACAAAAACGCAAACTTGTTTCGTTCAATGTTCTCTCAGAATTTGTGTTGGAAGAATGCACCAAGCTGTTTAGTTGAGGTTTATAATTATTAACTAAAGGTAAGTCAATTACAAAGTATTATTACTCATCATGGGTTATAATGTCAAAAATTGAATTTTGTTTTGGTTCATAAGGTCGAAAATCGCGTAAAAATCGCGTTTTGTACAAGAGTATAGACAAATTTCAAGTACAGTTCTTACAATAGCTCAGTTTAATGTATATAATAAGTAAATCGTAATTTTTAGATGTTTTTCCTGAGAGTAAAACATGTCCATGATACCAAAAATTTAGCCAAAACCTTAGCAGTGCGATACCAGCAGATGGCATTTTATGATGACAACTTTAGCACTGAATTACAAAAAGGACTTTCAAAGTTTTATTTTGAGATTATCGCTGAAAAAATTTGGTATACATATAATTATACACTGAAAAAAAAAGATTTCTTATATTTTGAACACCTATTATCTTGAAAATATTGTTTTAATTCAAGTCAACTTGCTTTAAAATAATAATATATATTTCAACTAAAAATATTTAACTTCTTTAAAAAAGAATTTTGTAGTTTTGGAAATATTCT